CCCCCCCAGGCCACCCACAGCTGAGGAGCCTGGCCATGCCCCTCCTCATCCGGTAGCCAGGCCCCACCCCCTCCCACGACCTTACCAGCTGCACACCCTCCATTCTGGATCCTTCCAGCCTCTTGAGGAGAGCCCTGCAGTCAGCCATGCTTTATGTCCAGCAGAGGGCCTTCTACAGGGGTCAGCACAGAGCGCTGCTTCATCTCTCTCCACAGCAGGTGAGGAGCCTCCTATCATGACCTCGGCCCTCCTCCCTAGGTCAGGTTGAGGTGTGAGCACCTGCTGGCCTCACCAACTCCAGGCCTCCCCTACCCACCAAGCCCCCTTTGGCCTCACCACCCCCAGGCCTCATCTTCCCGCCACGCAGGTGCCAGGCTTCACCAGTCCCAGGCCTCACATTCCCCAGCTGCACAAACCCCAGGCTTCACCTTCCCGGTAAACCTGTCCCAGGCCTCACCAATCCTAGACCTCACCTTCCCGCCAAGCCCATGCTAGGCCTCTCAAGTCCCAGGCTTCACCTTCCCATCAAGCCTGCCCAGGTCTCGCCAGTCCCAAGCCTCACCTTCCCGCCAAGCCTCCCCCAGCTGCACAAACCCCAAGCCTCATTTTCCCACTAAACCCCTGCCCCAGCCTCACTAACCCCAGACATCACCTTCCTGCCAAGTCTTTCCCAGGCTTCACCAACCCCAGGCCTCACCTTCCTGCCAAGCTCATGCTAGGCCTCACCTTCCAGCAAGCCCGCTCCAGTCTCACCAATTCCAGGCATCACCTTCCCGCCAAGCCTTCCTAGGTATCCTTCATGCTGAGCAGCAGGAGTGTGAGGTGCAGCAAGTAAGGAGGGGTCTGGATGTGTGGAGAGGGGCTAGCACGGACAGGGAGGCTGGTGGGAAAAGGGCAGCCCACAATTAGGAGCCAGGATTAGGTTACGGTTAGCATGGGTGTTGGTTAGGTTCAAGCTAGTTTTATATTAATCTCAAGGTGGTAAGGAACAATTTATGTTGGAGTTTATATTATTGCTTGGCATATTAGGTTTATCACTTACAATTAGATTAGCTCTGTGAGGAAATCAGTGGAATTTTTATAAGATTATATATTTCTTAGGCCTACTTCACTTTCACCACCTACCCTGCCTGGGAGAAAACTTTTAATTCATGACTTGCAGGCTCAGGCTATTTCTTTACATTCCTCTGTTTTGACAAAAAACTTCAATTAGCTATTTTGGGAATTTATCAACTTTTTTGTCTGAATTATCACAACTGGCATGTGTCACAATCAGCCAATGTAATTATTGCCCCTGAAAGTCAGTAGTATTTTATCACAAAATATAACTCTATAGAGTTGCTAATTTTTAGGGAAATATTGTTAGCAAAATGCAGGTGGTATATCATCATGAAAATTATATATCTACAAATTTCTTTAGCATACTCATTTGCAAATTTATTTATTTATAATCTGTTTACATAAATACCTCAGAACCATATTTCCCTCAGTGTAAATTGCTGTTAAAATGTATTTTCAGTTTTTTAATTTAGTGACGCCACTTCAGTTAAATTGTTTTTGTTTTATTTTGTCTTTGAGACAGAATTCACTCTGTAATTCCGACTTGCCTTGAACTCACTATGTAGTCTTGGCTGGCCTTGAACTTATGGCTGTCCTCCTGCCTCAGCCTCCTAAGAGCTGGGATTACAGGTATGTGGCACCACTATTGGTTTAAACTCCTTGTTTACCAGTCACCGCAGGATTGGTGTCTTCCACACTTCCCCAATTAGGTCAGAGATGAGAGGAGGAAACACTTTTGACTAAGATGGGTTGGGAGAGTGAAAGAATTTTTTCATAGACATTACCCTTTTGCAAGTATTATAAATGGGGAGTACAAAGTAGAAAAAAGTATACAGTAGTTAAAACATTTGCTCTGTAAATTGTTAACCTTTAGAGATAGAATGGCTGCTAAAAATAGAGTCCTTTAAGGAAAATTTATGCCATTTTGAAAATAAGATCTTGTTCCATAAATGCAGCCCAACTAAATATTAATGATAGCTCACAAATCAGTGCTTTCAGGGGAATGAGTAAGATAGAAAAATGTTCACCTAGTGATTTTCCAT